GGGGGGAGGGGAAAGTACGCAGAGTTTCCCATTTTGGATCGCGATCTTGGGAAATAGTTCGCGACCGTGGTATAGCGGGCTCAACGGCATTTTCTTCTGAAGAAAAAGATGAAGAGCGTCATTGTATCTCGCTCCTCTTATACTGACTATTCTATCTATCGTCTTGACTGGATGCAGGGCTCTTGGGGCGACAGGGGAAATGGACACATCTTTGATGTTTTTTGATGAAAGGAAAGGAGAGGGGATTCTGGGTCTAAGGTGAGGTTTGGTGTTTTGGTGGTGTGGTAGCTGCAGAGGAAAGATGGGGGCTAGCATGGGAGCTACTGTGGGATTATATGGATCGATGGACGCGATTTCCTTCCTTCTTTAGCTTCAAGATGGCGATGAGACTGGATAACGTGATATGGTTACTTGCTAGTAGAGTGCTGGATCGCAAGCCTGTCATTGTCGATGGGCCGATGAGGGTGTGAAGAAGGTGGGCGAGAAGAGCGCGAGGTTTGGTATACTTCAAGGTGAGAATGGTTCCTATCTTCTCTCATCTACGTTCTGCCACGGAACGCAAGCTAGCTGGATTTCAGGTCGAGGTTGTCGCTCCAGAGACAGGCATACATGTAGGGCATTCTATCTTCCAAATCTACCACAAGTCCGGCGTCTTTCTACCGCAGATACAAACAGTCTTGGAGCGTGGGCGTCGTCCATCAGGCTCTATGCTCCTCAGAGTGTCCCTCGAAATCCGCACCCATATCTTCTCTCTGGTTCTCCAGGCCGTCAACCCTCTCAACTCCTGGCCAAAGTTCATCTCTTCATCGCAACGCTTCGGTCACCGGCATAAAACTCATAGGTTTAGGACTCGGGAGCCACACCCAATCTGGGCCAACATGGACTGGGCTCTCATCTGCCGCTAAACGTACCTCGAGGTCGTCGGTAGCGCTCTGATTTGCGGACTTGCCAAGTTTCACTTCGAAATACATTAGCATGTCTGATATCTCAATCACATCAGCCCCGTCAACAAGTCCAGCATCACCACCATAAATCCTGGCATAAATCTCACCAACAAGACCCTGAACGTGGCTGAGAGTATCCAGGTCAAACTTGCTTCACTCCAGCCATACTCCAGCACCTGAGATCTGCGTCTGCCTCGCACCAAGCATGTGTAGGCCAGATCTAGCGTTTTCGAAAGGGGTCAAGCGAGTCTTCCCTAGGTCCTTGGAGTTCCGGAGCGGATTCTTCGGCCCTTGCCTAAGATGATGGTCACTCATGCAAAAATGCGTCTGCTAAGTCATGATTATAGGTACTCGGCAGAGAAGACGACCTGTGACGCGTTGGAGGCAACCGATTCCTGGAAGAAACTCAAGGCGGGTTTGAAGAGCTTCTCTTTGGAATTCGCGACATCCCATCCCATGACGACGCACTGGCTTGCCGACATGGAAGATGAAGAGCTCAAGACCATCAGCGGGAAGGTCAATTCGGTCGTCATGCGGAGGGCTGGATCCGGTGTTGTACGAATGGATGCACCAAGTGGTTTCCACCTTGGTACGTGCCTTGGAGCACGTGCTGTAGAGCTTCGCATCAACTTTTCCGCACAACGTCCGGCAAAGTGCTACTTTCTCTGGCCCTGATTGATTTCTCAGGTTCGTCGTCTACTTCTGGAGGCATTGGATGTGTGCTGCTGGGATGCAGGGCGAGGACAGCATGGTACGCTGGATGCGTGTTCGAGGGCATCACTGCCGCTTGATTACACTTTAGTTAAGAACTGCTTGCAAGGACTTGAGTTTCGAATTTAAAATGGAAAAGCACAGAATAAGTTTGACTTTTCAAGTCGTCAATCTGCTGCGTGTTTGTAGTAATCTACTTCAGATATCTCATATTGGCGTGTATCATTCGGTAAGAGTAATCGTCGGCTCGCTTAGCTGGGCCTCCATTCGTCCTTTTAAGACTCGGCTATTACTAAGCTTGAGAACTGGAGTTGCTTTGACACACGTGACTCGCTGACCGCTCTGGGCAGAAACGGGGCATAGGAAAAAAAGTCCAAAGCCGTTCATCAGTGTGCGCTTCCCCCCTCTCCAACCGAACCTCAATCAACCATCGCGATACTCTTGTCGCACCCCGCTGTGTGGAAACTTTGAACAGCTTTATCTGGTCCCCAGCATATCCTACCACGCTCGACTGCTGCCATGTCTTCAGACGAGATTGTCTGGCAGGTCATCAATCAGCAGTTCTGCTCCTTCAAGCTCAAGTAAGCCGCCCATCTTTATTCTCTGACCTCAATCCTGATTCTCCCAGGACTACCAAGGAGAAGAACTTCTGTCGCAACGAATACAACGTCACGGGTCTTTGCAACCGCCAATCCTGTCCCCTCGCCAACTCCCGCTATGCCACCGTCCGCGCCCATCCCGAGTCCGGCACCCTCTACCTCTACATGAAGACGATCGAGCGCGCGCACATGCCCAGCAAGCTCTGGGAGCGCATCAAGCTGTCGCAGAACTACCAGAAGGCGCTGGACCAGGTTGACGACCGCCTGATCTACTGGCCCAAGTTCCTGGTACACAAGTGCAAGCAGAGGCTCACGCGCCTAACGCAGGTTGGCATCCGGATGAGGAGCATTGCGAAGGAGGACGAGCGTCTGGGTGAGAAGCTCGTGCCGAACATGGCGCCGAAGGTGCGCAGACGGGAGGAGACGAGGGAGAGGAAGGCGTTGAGTGCCGCCAAGGTTGAGAGGGCTATTGAGAGGGAACTGATTGAAAGGTTGAGAAGTGGCGCTTATGGTGACCAGCCCTTGAACGTCAGCGAGTCCATCTGGAAGAAGGTGCTGAAGGGCCTTGAAAGAGGTGGGGAGGGCACCAGAGATGAGGATATGGATGAGGGCATTGAAGAGGATGAGTTCGAGAATGAAGCGGAGTTTGAGGACGAGGAGGGTGTCGGTCAGGTTGAATACGTCAGTGATCTTGACGAGGACGAAGAGGACCTGGGAGACCTCGAGGACTGGCTAGGAAGCGAGGAAGAGGCCGAGACTGGCGAGGAAGATGAAGGTGACGACAGCGAGAGCGAGAGCAGCCAGGGTGAAACGGCCAAGAAGCTCAAGATGCCCGGGAAGCGGAAGAGAGGCGTGGACCCGAAAGCCAAGTCCCAGCTCAAAAAAGCCCGCAGGGAAATCGAGATCGAGGAGGAATTCGAGGCACCACCGCGAGAGCTGGCATTGGTGCGAGCTTAAGCTGGGGATACCTTCCTGCACGGCGTCGGGGCCTATGGGACACTAAGTATTGTGTAGGCGTCTTTGGTAGGGCGGAAATTTCGGCTTTCTTTCATAAGTGCTTGTCCGGAGTTTTGTTCCGTTGTTGGCTTACAGAGTAGCATAGCAACAATACATGCTAATTACCAAAACCAAACCAAAACCGAAAAAGAAGAAAAGAAAAAAAAGTGTTAATCACCTGTGATGTGATGATGGCAGCCAGCGTATGCTCGCTCAGCGCTCCTTCGAGTTTATGGAGGGAAGGAGAGGGAGAGGAGAAGTGTATGTTTCAATCATTCAGGGCTCTGCTCTGCTCTGCTCTGCTCTCGTCTGCTCTAAAAATGAAAACAATAAAATACCTTCAACCAAAACTCAGATCCTCCGTCTACAAAATTACAGGTGGGTAAGTACTTAAAGGACAGAGACCCTTCTTTCTTTTGATGTTTCATCTATTTATCTATCCATCCATCTACCTATCTATCTATCCACCTATCCATCTACCTATCTTTCTATCTATCTACGTTCGCTCCATCTATCTATCTATCTATCTATCTATCTATCTACCTATCTATCCATCCATCTGCGTTCGCTCCACTCGGACCTCTGCAGTATCTCACCTACCATTAGAGAACAGCAGAGAGATATGCTTTGGAGTTTAAGATTTAAGATTTCAGTTTGGAGTTTGGGAGTTTAGGACTTTGGAGTTTAGGAGTTCACTGACTAATTATCAATCCGGGTTTCATTTTCTATCCGTGTGATTTGATCTGATTTGATTTGATTTGATTTGATTTGATCCGGTACGTGGTTGTAGGTTGTAGGTTAACCGTACGAGGTAGCAAGTAAGTAAGTAAGTAAGTAAGTAAGTAAGTAAGTAAGTAAGTAAGTAAGTAAGTAAGTAAAGTAAATAGCAAGACTTTTCTAGATGTCTATAGTCCAGTCCGACGGAGCCGTCTCTCCTACCTCGATTATCATATACTGATGAGTGGTCGGCACTGAGAAGCTCTTCTCCGTCTGCGGTTTTCGTCATGTTGCGTTCTGCTTGTAGGAGAGTGTGGCTGGGGTGACGGTGGAGAATGGGCTTGATTGTTATTGTTTTTGCTATCTAATGTCATTATGATTATGATTATTACACTGCCAAAGCACTTCGTACCGGACAGACAGACGATCGCAAAGGCAGACAGATGGGTAGGTAGGTACCATACACATGGAGGAATTAGAACGTGAGGAGTGCGTCGTCGTCGTAGATATATATATATAGATATATATATATATATAAATATATAGATATATAGATAAGGTAACTATTTCCCTCCTCGCTTACTTCTTCGCTTCACAAACATACCTGTCCGTCCATGCATGCATGCGTAATCAATCGCCAGGAAAGAAAATTGAAAACCAAAAACCAAAAACAAGAAAACACGTAGAATCATTCAGCTCGTAACAGATGTGCGGTAGGGACTGACTACGGACGGAGGCGAGCCCCGAATCCACGCGATGATGAAAGGGAAAGAATCATCTCCTCGCACCCAGCACCCAGCAAACAGCAAGCAGCAAGCAGCCGATTTCAATCGTCCGAGCTACTCAAGCCCGTGGATCGAAGGATGGCGCGGCAGGGAGTCGGCAGGCTGGGCAGAGGCGCGGTTTGTGGATGGTGGGTTCGGCGCGATTTAGCCGACCTTGACGCAGTTGAGGGCGTTGATGTTGACCAATCCCTGGTGAGCACGATCGTGTCAGTCTGCAATTGAAAGGGTGCGGAAGTCTGAAAGGAAAGGAAAGGAAAGGAAAGGAAAGGAAAGAAATGGAAAGGGGGCACTTACACCAGAGCTGCCAGCATTGCTGCAGCAGTAGCTGCCTCCGCTACAAGCGGGGGACAGGATGGGGATGACGCCGACGAGGCAGCTCAGGTTGAGGATACCGCCGCCTGTGCAGCAGACTTGCTGCTGGGAGTTGTTGCAAGAGCCGCCGCCGGTGCGGGCTTCGAGGGCTTCTAGGGCGGTTGGGGCGGCGAGGGTGGTGGCGGCCAGGAAGACGACGGTGAGGGCGGTGGTGAATTGCATTGTGGCGGTCGGTTGGGGGGATAGGTTTCTGGAGCTGGAGCTGGGGAATTGGTGGAGACGGGAGAGGATGTTGTTCTTTTTTGATCGGTGGATTGTAGGTAGGTAGGTAAGGAAGTGAAGTAGGCGGCTGGAATGTGTGTGTGTGTGTTTGGATGGAGTTTGTTTTGCGGATGGGGAGATGGGTTATATAGATCTTCTTGGAGGCAATTGGCCTCAACCGGAGGTGATGCTCCGTTCACATAGCCGTCATCGATATCTTGATCTCGCCTTTTCCGTCGCCTTGTTTACCGCGGAGTTCTTTGAATGAGAATCCGGGTGACCGTCTCGCGAATCCCCTCGGCTCAGCTGAGATGCTCTAGATCGGAGAGGATGACGAATAATATTCCCGTGTCACGCAGAACCAATCTTGAACTTGATCTTGGTGATGGCCGAGCCAGCTGTATTCGTAGGGTACGCAGGCGAGACGCGATGACGAGCAGAAAATGCTGTCTCCCGATGTAGGTACGACAGGGCGTCCCATGTTGTAGCACGCGAGAGGCTTTGTGTTCGTCGTAGTCAATAGACCGGACGAGACCGGACGGGTAGATCGAGCTACCTGCCACGAGGAGTTCCTACATGAACATTGGAGGCTCTGATAAGTGAAATAGATTGGATCTGGAGGCGAAGAAACCGGCCTCGACCCTGCTTGAGAATTAAGCGAGAGCGTGCCAAGCTTTTTTGTTCCCATCTGGCACGGTAGCCAGACCTGCCAACGACTCACAAGTGATTTATTTTGCACGAACTGAAGCCCGATGCGCGAACGGATACGAGATACAAATCGCCTAAGAAACAGGCTCTCCTCCGAAAGCCACATAGCGCAGGTGGGCTGTCAGTCCGGCTGTCAAACTTCAGCAAATGCAAATTCAAGTTTTTGGACATCGAATGACTCAATCTCCTACCTCCTACCAGAAGTAGCTCTTAAGCTATCTAGGGTATGAAGTACGAGTGAAGGGAGTGGCTAATATGATGGAAGGCTAAGTGATCAGAGACGAGACCAGGAGATTTTTTGCCTGTTGTTGTCATCTGCTTTCTTGCCTTCCTCCAAGCGTATACGGTACGAAAGGCTCCGGGATAACAGGAATCTTCAAAACGAGAGATTTTAATAATACTTCTGCTCTGTTAAATCTTTTTCCTGCTCCTGTTCCTGCTTTTTTTCAGTCATGAGCATGCATACCTCACCATGACATCTTCTTGCTAGATCTCGTATTATGCCCTGTTCTCGAGACTGTCACCACATTCTGCTTGTGACACCCCTTCTCCTCTGATAGAAGCCTAACAATGGACTCAAGATTACGAGCTAGCAATGAATGACCGCTTCATTGTTACTTGGGTATATCTCCGGGCACGAACAGCTTGAAGCCAAAGCAAAGAATAAGGTCTACTCGCAAAAGAGAACAACGAACACCAGCACCCCGAAGATAAAGATACAGACGACCATCCATCCATCTAACTTTCCAGAAAGGTAGAGGTTTGGAGCACAAGCCTCCCCTTGCGGATTCTATCTCCTTGCGCATATGTAGCATACTCGTAGAAAAAGTACTTCGGTTATTCTATCTGATACTTACCTCCTTATATCTTTCTATATCTTCGAATATATTGAATTTATAAGCAATATCCTCCTTTCGTGCGCCACAGTGATTGATGTAACTATTCTCTACCACCTCCCCCTCCACTTCCCGAACTCGGAGCACAACCACCCGTAGATGGACTTGCCCCGATCCGTCACGTCGGACACGTCACAAGATCTTCTCCCGTCACTCAACGCAACACTAAACATCGAAAAGTCGGAACACAAGTACCAAAACTGACAGGAAGAGAAAGAAAAAAGGTGGACGGCGCTGGCTGATTGTATTCCACTGGTTCTGCTGCTCTGTAGAAGATTTTCAAATACTTCTCTTGTGATCCATCGACTATGGTGATGGCGATATGGGAATGGCGGGTTCATAATCGATACTCATAGACCTCTGCCCGGGACACGAAGAAGAGGGAGGCTTGCTCGAAAGGACAAGTCACAGGATCGCTTAGGACGTAGTGCGGGACTTAGTTTGGCACTGCAGGAGGCTGGCTATATACCTATCTATATGTAAGCTATCCCGTGCTTCTCAGAGTTCTCTTCAACAAGTCAACCTTCTTCCCTCGGATTTTTATTAGCATCGACAAAAATGCTCAATGCAGAGATATCGTCTTGCTGAAAACCATACGAAAGCCGAAGATCTTCTTCCCCTCTTTAGCTCCAACAACGTCAACTTCCAAAGTCAACCCCGGCGGGACCATTCCAAGCTTGTCCTTCCTACCAACAAGCCAGATGCTGTTCGTAGCCAAAGGCGGTGTCCTCGGCGGCGGTTGATGACTTGTCTTTTCAAAAGCATTAGCGTATCTAAACAGACTCCCATTGTCGAACGCCTTCGCTGCGAATGTAGGATTGCGCGACGTCCTGATATTAGCTATGACGCCTATCTTTACGCTCGCTTTCGGTGAGGAAATCGTCCTAGGCGTAGGCCATCAAGCGACACATGTCTATCCCATCGCTGTGAAGGGGGCGCGATTGAGTTCGCCTCCGAGACGCTCGAGTCTGGTTTCCCGAACTTGGTTATGATAGGATAGTCGACTCCTTGAAACGTGACTCCGAGTTTTTGTAAGACTTGTTGTGCTTGCGTCCAGATATCGATGACAGCTTAGCGGGTATGGAATTTCCGTGCCGTCGGATCGGAGTCGATTCGACCGATATACATCTTAAGGACACCGATGCCCTTTCCTGCAAGGAAATTTGGGTTTGAAAAGTCGCTGTATTTCTTGGCCGAACGGTATCGACGTCCGGCAATTTGACGGCTAGCTAGCTGGCCTCGCCAAAGTCACAAGCTGTGTTCTCGTCGTTGGAAACCATGACATTCGGCGACGCGAACATGTCTTCCACGCTCCGATCAGACCCCTGGACGGCGTATAGGCCACTAATCCATTGCTAGAAGCAGGCGACCGACCGGAAGAGACGGTTTCTCCGCCCATGCCAAAGACGCCAAAGGCTGCAAGCCTGTCTACCACTATTAGCACTATTTCGTCATTCATAGCCCTCTAAACCACTATAAATATCCTCGACAGCGTAGAGTTGCCAAATCTGTTGATACCAACCCGTTGATATCGACCTCTTATCCAAGATAATTATATAGCTGTTAAATCGGTTAAACATCCCCAGCTCGCTTACGTATTGGTAAATACCCAATTCAAACCTTCACCTGCTCAATTCATTTTTTTCTTATAGCAAATATTATCATTAAAAGATATCTCAGCGAAGGAACCAGATTCAACCTACACTTTAGAGGCTTGGACATAGCCAGCCGTACGAGCCTACGGGCTTACGCTCTCAACTGGACGAAGTGCATCGCAAACTCTTCATCGTCAGCATGGCCTACATACCTATACACTTTCGGCACCGGATTTGCAATGCGACTTTTCTCTTATTTTATTGCTCGGTCCTCAAACAAACCACAGCTGATACCGGCATCGCGACTAGAGACTTCGTCGGGGATACCATTTTGGCGCCGACAACTTCTTCATCAATATAATGAAATATATATATATATATATAAATATATATATATATATATATATATATTCCCCATAGAGGAGTATTTACTTCCGCGAAGTCGACATCGATGAAGAAGGGGAGGATGATCCGGACGCGGGAGTACAAAGGTGTAGATCAGTAAGCAGCGAGGGTGAAGCTTGTATCAAGGTCGGACGAGGGGAAGAGAGGCGCTACGGACTTTCCTCCTCCGGAATTTTTGAATTTTTGTAAGCTAGCTGGATGGGCGACAGACAACGCCGCCGGGCCGCCGCAGCAACACAGACATGCTGCAACATGGTCTACCGGCCGAGCGTGGCTCGACTCCTTCTACGGCATCATCTTAGCCTCAGACAACGTACTCAACGAAACCACCAGTCCGGTCCCGACGGCCGCGCCCTACAGCTGGACCCAAGGTCTGTTCCGAGTTCCGGGTTGGTTCCCGAATACTCGGGGAGGGGCCCTAGTTCTTGTCTCCAGGTTGCTATATTTGCCTTTGTGGTCTGTCAACGAGCAGCTCGACTTGGGCTCTCTGCCTCGGCGTTGGATCGGATCCACCGGTTCATGATGCACAGGGCCCCATAGTCTCTACTCGCGAGGCAGCCCTGGCACTGGCAGCTCTCTTCGGCAGCTGGAGCTGGAGTTGGAGTCAAACGGCATTCGAGCTCTTTCGAATGATAGAGATTGCAAGCTCGTGAAAGCGTCTTGTCTCCGTTTTCTTGGCTGCTTAGAGTTAGACAGTTAGACAAGGAATATTTGCTACGATTTGGTAAGGATAGCGTTAATCAGGTTCCCAAACCGGCCTTGAACTCTGCGGCAGAGTTGCGTGAGGACGATAGACAGCTGCTAGTTGTTAACAGCCAGCCTACAATATATCGCAAATGCGTCTTTTCAAAGCTGTAGAAAAAGTAAACAAAGGGCTTCCGCCAGACCATCCATCAGTCGGCAGTGGCATCAGCGCAGCAAGAAAAGCACTCGGAATTTCTATTATTATATACTTATGAAGTGAGGATCATGAAACAAAACGGAATAAATAAGGAGGGCAGGTTTCCAGGGGCTGGTGGCATGGAATATAGGCAAAAGGAAGACAGAGAGAAGAATTGTACCTATTTATAATTCGGGATAATAAATGTCCGAGAGAGACTGGGCATATGTGGTCAAGAATTCACGATACATATTGACCATGAAATTCAAGACCTGGAGTGAAGTGAAGCCCAAAGGTCGTTTGCGATATAAGTGAATATATCTTCTTCTTCTTCTCATGAAAATGCCAAAGTCATCAGGCTGACTCGAGCTTGTAGGTACGGAGTAAGTACTTGGTGGGGTTGTGCCATGTTGCGACCATCGTTTCAACAACAGAAGCTCCTTCTTCAAGAACATCACACCGCAACTCAACCTCCCCCCTAAATCCAGTCCGCAGTCCTCAGATCTCCAAACTCTCGTCCGAAGCAATTCAGTAAAGTCAACACGCTTCTCCCGACATATACACATACGCATACACATACACACACACACACACACACACACACACACACACATAGTCGACTGAGCGCAAACAACCCGCCCACCATGACCTCCTACTTCTCATCTCTCCTCACGACGACCACGTCCCGCGTGGCCTCCATCCGCCAGAATCTGCTGCCCACGGAGAACGACGGCGACACGGAGGACGACACACACGTCTGCCGGGTCCTACGAGCCTACTACACGGAGAAAGGGCGCGCGTTCCCGACCTGGCTGCCCCCCGACCCCAAGGCGCCCCCTCCGCCCGTCGTGCAGCCCGTGTACGCGCAGTCGAGCGTCGGTTCGCGGTACGGCGGGCTCCAGAACCAAGCCGGCGGTAGTGGCAGCGGCAGCGGCAGCTTCGGTAGCTTGTGGGACAAGCAGCCCGCGCAGCCGGCCCCGCAGTCGGGCTCGCAGAGCCTGCGCCAGGGACGCGCGCCCGGCGGCATGGCGGCGAGTCGGGGGAGTCCGTTTGCGAGGGAACAACAACAACAGCCGGTTGCGGCTGCGCAGGAGACGAGGGTGCAGGGCTTGCCGAGCGAGCGGGCCGGCAGCTATCAGCACGTTTCGAGGGAGGAGGCTCGGAAGCAGAAGTTGCTCGGGGGAGGAGGCTTGCGGGCGCCGGCGCAGGCTCAGCGGGCGCATTCGTACGAGTCCGCTGCGGGAGGGTCGCCGTTTGCGTCTTCTAACTCGCCGTGGTCGGGTGCGGGTGCGGGTGCGGGTCCGGGGTCCTACGATGATAGCGGATATGGGGGCGGTCGTAGTATGGGTGGGGGATATGGGGCTCCTGCTCCTGCTGCTGCTCCTGCTGCGGGACGACCGGGACTTCCCAACGGACCTGGGGCCGGGAGACGCGGCATGGGACTTCCCAGCGGACCGAGGGGGTACAAGTGAGAGGAAAGAAAGGACGGGTGCGTGTGATAATGGGCTTCTGGATGAATGCATTTGTGGATACAAGCAGCAGCATGGTGGCATGGAGTTTGGGGATAAGGACAACCACTATATCTACTTTTTTTTTTTTTTTTTGGACAGGACCCAGGACCGCCAGCTTTGGGTCGCATAGGATGGATGATCCGAAAAAACATGAATTAGAACTGCCCTTCTTCCTTTTCTATGTGTCCTGAACTTTCCGTCTCAAACTTGCTCCTGTGCGCTCTTTGTCTTGAAGCCAGTGCTATACACCTCTCTCTCTCTCTCTCTCTCTCTCTCTCTCTCGTCTCTATACAAGTGAGTAAGTAAGTGTACATTATCAGTACACATAGGTATACACGCATACATACACCCAGTAACCCTCCCCTTCCCTCCTCCCCCAGCCAGCAGCTTTTCAGCCCGTTCGTCGTGTATCGGAGTACCGACCGACCGACCGATCAGCTTGCCTTGCCTTTCCTTCGTCTTGAGAAGAGGAAGCTGTATCTTAGCTTGGCTTTTCTCGTCCCTTCTATCGAGAGAGTGACGGGGTGAAGCTGGGTCAGGGACGTGAAGTAAAGTAGGAGGGTAGTTAGAACGAGAGGGGTGTTTTCTTCGGTTGGTTTGGTTGGTTTGGTTGCTTTCTTTGCCCTTCCTCTCTCCGTCACTTCTCGGGAGTGAATTGGTAGTCGTTTAAAATAGATAGATATGAAAAAATAGAGGGGCTTAGTAGTTGGTAGTTGGGTGGTTGGGTCTGAGGTTATTTTTTTTTTATTGTGGACGATGAGCTTATGGTACTTTGAATGGTCTCTGCCCCCCTTTTTCTTTTGTGTATGTGTATATTTTGTTTGTGGTCGGACAATAGAGAAGAAGAAGATGATGATGGAAGGAAGGAAGGAAGGAAATAGGAGGAAATAGGAAGAGGGAGGGAGGGTGGAATGTGTAAATTGCACTATGTGTGTGTGGTGTGTAGATATCTGGGAGGGTGTCTATTAATGACGCTTCTTAAGCTTGCGAGAGCTAGAGGGGAAGGAAGGACTTTTTTGATATTGTGGTTGTTAGAGACTTGAGAGAGGGATTGGATTAGAAGGAGGGAGGTAAGTAGGGAGGTAGTGAGGTAGGGCTGGAAGAGAGGACGAGGCGAGATGGTGATTGTGCGCCAAGTTGGTGAGCGCGTGTGTATTACCTACTTTTGTCATCTAGGTAATGGCCGATAGTTTCCCATGCCTCAGACATGTACCTAGGACAATTAGGTAGTAGAGCAAATGTTTTCGTAGCCTCAACCTCATTTTGTTCCATTATCTTATTAGAAGTGGTGTACAGGTGAGTAGGTATATAAAAATTTGGCTGCGTTAAAGTAAGGCTAATAAAATACATTGCTGAATAATTGTAGATAAACCAATCAAAGGACCTAAACTTTCGCTCTAAGAGGAAAATAGATATAACGGTTTAAATAGCTTCAGATTCCGGAGTCGAGGCTGAGAAGTCGATGGATCTCGTTATCGGGTCTGAAGAAACCCCCACGAAATATAAGGCAGGTTCCAGTTTAAAATAAACGGATTACATAAGATGTTTTTTCGCTAAGCAAGTGCTAAGCAAGTGTTTAGTAATAAACTACAACTATCTCAAGAGCCCTAAGTAATGGTGCGTACCACAAATCATAACGATACCTAGTCAGTCAGTGTCTTTTTGAATTCTGAAGTCAATTTGCGATTGGCTAATAATTTGACTTTGCGATTAGCTTCGGTTCTTGCTTGCTATGATCGGCCCAGCTTTTCGATTTACTTTAAAGGCCGGCTCCGCGCACGGAAGACGTCTGTCTGCGCTGACATGCGTACGGTAGTAAGTAGAGCTGCACTTACTACGTAATTTGAGAGGTTGAGGCATGCGAAGTCCACTACTGTCGAGGTGTGGGAAACCATGCTTGAGTTAAGGGAGGTACTTGATCCGGGTATTTGCTTATTCGAATATTCATCCCCTTCACTGAACAACGTCACCAGCTTTTGTGTCATGCACAGAGGTGATCGGACCGAGATGTGAAAGAAGAAGAAAAGAAGGAGGGAGGGGCTCCGGATCCATCGACATAAGTGCCGGCCGGGGGGACAGGGTGCTGAGTGCCGGGCTGACACGTCGGAAAATATTGAACGCACTGCAATCCGTACTCTGTCGCGCTATACGAGATTGATGTGGGATTATATATAGTAAGAAGGGTCGAAAAGGAAGAAGCAAAAGGAGGAAGAAGCAAAAAGTCCCTCTCAAGAATCGGGTTCAGAATCCAGAACATGCATGGTCCCATCCGGTCCCCGATATCCGGGTTGACCGTAGCGCAGGGAAGGCAGGGAAGGCAGGGAAGACAGGGAAGGCAGGGAAGGAAGGGCAGGTCAGGGCAGGGCTAGAAAGGCTGGAAAAACGGTGGAAGGGTGAAGGTGAAGGGTGCAATTAAGTAAACAAGGGGGCGAGACTAGGCGAGGCCAGGCAAGCGATTGTTGACATACGCGTTTCAGACTAGCGCCAGGTGGATCTAGCGAAGCTTCGCTTCCCTCTTCTCCATCAACACCTCTTGCATCCTCGTTTAAATTTCCAACGGCACAACTACTTACTGCTACTCTAAGTTGTACAACTATTTACATTTCTCCCATCCTCTTATTTCGACGACCTGACTCTACAGGGTCGGGAAGTAAGGATTTCTGGTCGCACCGACGGCATGGAACCTTCGGCCATCACACCATCCGCCACCATCATCCGCCATCCGCCATCCACCATCCATTATCCCCCCATCACCCCCGTTTCCGATCGCTTATATCGAGTCGAGACCTCGAATCCCCCTCGACATCGACCGCAACCTTCACCGTCCCGACTCGGCCAGCCCCCATCCCTACTCCTCCACCCTTCATCCCACCCTCGCTCCCTGCACCAGGTAAGGAAGGGAATTGCTCGTGGATTCTCGTCCGATCTGTTTGCTTGCTCCCTTGCGCCTTGCTGGCAGCGCATTCGGTCTATCCATTTATTGATTCGTTTGTCCATCGAGCTTTCGAAGAAAATCCCGTGCGCCCGTTTCATAGAAGGAAATCGTTCGAAGAAGAAAAAGAAAAGAAAAAATCTGTTCTCTTCTGTGTCACTTCTCATTTTTCTACTTGTCACCCGGACACGGACACAGATAGACCCAAAAACAGACCCGGATCTCAACCCCGAACCCAGACCTCTCTTCATCTAGAAAAAGAAAAAGGAAGGGGAAAATAGAGAAAGAGAGATCGCCCGCTATGTAAAAATGCAACACTCTACCACGCTGGCGTCGACGGGCTGACCACCCTTTCGGAAACCTGCACACTCCTTACATATCCAACGACGACCTCCCTGACCGAGGCAACGTCCGTTTTCGGCTCCTCTTTCTCCGTTTCTTCCCTATATATGTCCGCTATAGCTTCTTCAACTTTGTTCGTTTGTCCAGAGAAGAAGCCACCTACTACCAACCCTACCTACCTACCTATCTGTATGCTTACTCACTCGAATGATTACTTGTTGGTGCAAGAGAGCAAGGTAGCAAGCAAGAAAGAAGGGAAGGAAAGGAAAAGGAAGGGAAAAAGAGAGAAAAAAGATGGCCATCAGCAGCCCCGACACGCGCCCGCCTCCCCTGCCCATCGACAAGACCTGCACCTACAAAACCGTCGGCGAGACTTGCATCCCCATCGACCTCTACTTCCCGCCGGCTTCGAACGTGGACGCGATCACGACGGATGGCGGCCAGGCGGCCAGGCATCCCATCATGCTGTTTATCCACGGCGGCGGCTGGATCGGGGCCAACAAGTCGGACTACTCGCGCCCGCTGTTCGTCGAGTTCCTCACGCATGGCTTCGTCGTGGCCGCCATGGACTACCGCTTGAGGCCCGAGACGGACTTGGACGGGCAGCTGGCCGACGTGCGGGATGTGGAGTACTGGCTGCGGGAGAGTTTGGCGCTCGAGACGAGGGCGCACGGGGTGGAGGTGGATGGAGAGAAGATTGTGGTGGTGGGCTGTTCGGCGGGAGCCCATCTCGCACTGTTGACGGTTCGTTTTGTTTTCATATCCCATCTCATCCTATCCCATTCTATATCCCATCAAATTCTGTCCCATTTTCCGAGTTTCTGGGGGGAAAAAATCAATTTTTTTCCCCCAAACCAGGCCGAACCAGATGCTAAAGATCCTCTCCCTAGCCCCAACTATGGACGGCCAAGCCCAATGCCATCTTCTCTATGTACGGGCCGACCAACCTGCACCACCTTCCTTACCTCCACCGCTTCGCGCACTTGAACATCAGCAACTGGCCCTGCACGCCCGAAGTGCTGGCCGCGGGCACCCGATACGACGCGCCGCCGACCGAGATCCCCATCCCGACGCCGGGCCTGCCGGGCGACGATTACATCCTGCCGCGGAGCTTGCTCGCCATCCACCTATTCTCCCGAGGTCTTATTGCCGATTTTCTGGTCAAAGGCCTCGTCCGGGACGCCGATGGGACGTTGGGCCTGCCGGAGAAGGGATCCGCGAGTAAGGAGGAGATTGAGGCGATTAGTAAGTCATTTATTTCTATGAATGTCCCTTGATCTCTTTTTTCTCTACCACCTTTTCGGAAACTCGGTCAATATCTATTCAGTTCAATATCTACCCAGTTTGATACATACATACACATATACATATATATATATGTATAAATTCATATATGCACATATCCATACCAACACCCAAACCTCCACCAGGCCCCCTCCACCTCGCCAAGCACCTCACCTACCCGCCCGTCTACCAGCTCTTGGGCACCGCCGACGACGTCTTTGACACGTCGCACGCTCACCTCTTCCACGCCGCCCTGGACGCCCAGGCCATCCCCATCGCCACGACCCTCGTGCCCAACGTCAAGCACGCCTTTGACTCGACCGCTCCCGTCGGCGGCCATATCCACTGCGCCTACTTTATGCCGGCTGTCGAGTGGCTTGCGGCTTTTGTATAGGCCTCGCGGGGGGGTGGTTAGTAGGTAGTGAGGAGAAGAGAAGTGAGAATAGGAGAAGGAAGGAATGGAAAGGAAAGGAGAGGTGAGCAAGAAGAGGAGAGGAAAGATTTGGGAAAGGGGGAACAGTAGATCGTGAATCATGTCTCGAGCTAGCTGCTCGCTTGATTGTGTTTTTTATAGCTGTCTATCAGGAGTCATTCATAGTGACAGCTATAATTATATTATATTTGGCGAGCTGCCGATATTAGTAGTATTAAGGGTATATACAACATACATTCACTGTTCGGCCTCAAAAGGCTACATACACTTCCTGTTCCTGTCCCATTCCCATTCTTTCCTTTCCCTCTTTTTATCCTCCATCTTTTGTAGTTTCTTTCTTTTTTTTTTTTTTTCATTACATCCTGACCTTATTTTTCAAAAGCACTTTGTCTTTTCGAAACCCCCCCCCCCCCTCCCCAAAAAAATTAGCAAAAAGCAGACTCCGTAGAGATATACTACTATGATTCTCGATTCCCGAATCATATCTACAATCATACCTACCTACCGACCCAGACCTCCTCGAAGTCGCAAGGTGTGTATGTGTTTCGTATGTACGGAGTTAAATACTGCACCACGACTTTCCTCACCGGGCACCGGGCGCGGGCTCACTTCTCTCCAAAAGGGGGTGAGAAAGTTTCCGTTAATGCATACCTACTATAAACGGAGTGATAGTAATAGTAATAGTAATAGTAATACTTACACCGCTTCTCACACACACAGGAATAGGGACATTATACCGGTAGTAACTTGGCGAAAAAAAAAAAAGGTTCCGCGCGAAAGAAAAAAAAAAGAAAGAGGGAGAAGGAAAAAAAAAAGAGAGAGACGCGGACGCCAGTAGAATCAGCGGGCGTGTAATCTTTGCTCTGCAGGAAGAAGAGAAGCGGGGAGAGAAGAAGGAGGCTTCGAGGAGGAGGGAGGAGCGAGCTTCTCTGTGTAAACAACCGGTTCCGTTGTCCCTGAAAAACAACCCAACCCTCCCGGCCTTCTTTTTTTTTTCTTTTTTTTTTTTCTCGCGCCGGAGATGTCGAGTCGGAGAGTGATTTTGTTGAGGGAAAAGCCTACTTAACTCTAAGCCCGCTTCGTTCTTTCCGTTGTTCGCACGCCCTCTCTCTCTTTTCCTTCGCTCGCCTTAGTCCTCTTCCCAGCTCTCTTCAGCCGGGTGAGCAAAGTCTCCTCAGCGTGACAATCATACCTATCATGCCAGCCCAGGAGCAATCGTCCCCAAGCCTTCTTCTTCTTCTTCTTCTTTTTCTTTTTCTTCTTCTTCATCTTCAAGTCCGTCGGAAAGCAGGGTTGCCCCAGCAGGCTGCTTGCTGTATAGGAATTTGCCGCGACCCCGCCCATTTAAACTTTCTGTTTACTAAACCTCGGCGGCTAAAAGAAAGGTTGCTGAGCCTGAGATTCAACTAATCGTCGGCTCGCTTAAGTGGGCCTCCTTACATCCTTTCAGTCTTAGTCGGCGTAAGCGATTGCGGATCGGAAGCGAATGCGAATTTTTCTTTTATTGCGAAGTTTTTATATACAAAATACAACGTATAACATTACTTTTCAATTTACAATCGCATAATTCAATTGTATTTAATTAATTATAAGCCGAAAACGTATTTATATACCCAGAGTTTGATATTATAAATCGATGAAAAGCTTGCTGCTAAGCAGCAAGCTAAAAAAAAAATGTTGAATCTAGTGCAAAATAATAAGAAATCGTCGACAAGATTTAAAAAGAAGAAATGCTAAATATCGTAAAGGAATTGATTTACGCAAAGCTAAGCGCGAGCGTAAAAGGATTGTACGAAAACGCTGCAAGCTTAATAATTAAAGACGACGATGTAATACTTATTTTAATTCTCGATTCGGAGGAGATTTGGTAGTTGCAATAGCTTTTTAAGCGTCAAATTTTGCGGCTTCGTAAAAAAGTATTCCTCGACCAACTCTCTCTCAACTTAAACTTTTTCTCGATAACGAAAATTTAATAATTACAACCGATACTGTTCAAGACTCCTTTATAAAGCAAGATATTTTCCTTTTTCTTTAATATTAATATTAATAGCGATAGCTACAATTCTAATAGTAATAAAGATTTAAACGATTCGTTGCATAAAGTAAAAGACGAATCAGATTTTAATAAAAATAATAATCGATAATTAAATATTTCATCGGATAATACGATTTTAAATGTTTCGAAAGAAGATATACTCGTAGAATTTATTGTTTATATAAATATTTCTTAATTGTAATAGTAATTGCTATAATATAAAAGAATTTCCAGCATATTTAAAAAATCCGCATTCGCTTCCGATCCGCAATCGCTTACGCCGACTAAGACTGAAAGGATGTAAGGAGGCCCACTTAAGCGAGCCGACGATTAGGTACAACGGTACCTACTCTGTCGACGACTAAACTGCATCCTGCAGCTTAGATAAAGGCACTCGCTGCAAGAGCAAGGGGCGGCAAGGGGCAGCAAGCACACCTACCTGTCACGGCTCAGGACTGCCTGGAGATCTACCTTTAACATATATCCCAGCTTCCTCATCCGGCACTAGTTTGCTCGATCGGATCGACTCTATTTCCTTGAATATCATCTGGTTCTTCTAATAACAGTCCAATAGAGAGATTGTCATTTGTTGTCTCTTTCACGCCGACTGAATCTGCTGACGATGATGAATCGCTGTTATCACCATGGTCCCACACCAGCCACGGATAAGTAAAAACCCCTTCTATCTCTTGATAGCTGATCCGACCAGGGAGACAAGCACGCTGAGCCTGTGTGGATAGTAGCGTGCCAGCCCTGCCCACGCGCGAAGATTGCACGCCATCAACGAACCGCCGCGGGATCAGCGTCTCCCGTGTCAACGACCACGTCTCGAGAAGTCGCTTGCTTGGTCGGGGCATCATCAACGACAGGTGCGAGAATGTCCGTGTAGCGAACCGAGCCGGCCCGAAGCTCAACCAGTGGCACAGAAAAGACTTATGCCCAAGCAAACATCAAGATGGCAAGGCGGTTGCCGGCCTCATGATTTTCATCAGTATCTTGATCTCTCCAGTGACGAAAGCTTGAGCCCTCTTGTCGTGCATATCGTAGGGCGTGTGATGCCTAGTATCATAGGCGGTACATCTTGGGAGAACTCTCCCAGATCGCAGCCCTCCTGGTGTTTGCAATTCCATGCTGAGTGGCCGAACACCATCTGTCCATTCATTCGAAGGCGAACATGAGAAATTGCCGGGACTCTGTCCAACAAAGTACCAAGTTCTAAGCAATCGAGCAAGATCGATGGCTTATCCGTCGCCTGCTTGACATATTGCTGCCAGCGATCATGGCTTTTCTTTAAGACCTTCTGGATTTGCTCCTTGCTTGGAACGACAGAGTCATCTGGTTCCGCTACCTGTACGATTGAGGGCATTTAGCGATGAGAGGCGAGGGCGTGTCAATGAAAGTACCGCTTTAGTCGTCCCGCATTATCTTTAGTCGCTGATGATATTGAATACAACCAAATGCCTGAGTTGTAAGTGTGCGATAGCCGCAGGTTGAGGTAGGCGGAGATTGGATTGGACTGGATTGGACTGGAGGAGTAAACAGACAGGTCTTGAGAATGCGGCAGATACTATTTACTATCAGGCCGTTTCTGGCTCCTCATCTCACCGCTTTGGTGGTGACAAAGCCGATCAAAATTGGTGCAAAATCGCAGGCGAGGGTCCTTCGTAACGCGGTAACTATAACCAGCATACTGTAGAGATCTACATCTGATCTGGTATCGTTTTGTGAAGGAGAGAGGGGGGTATGCGAGAAGAACTTATACTCGATTCGTTCGGGCTTTGCCGGTAGTCAAATAGCAAGATGTGACTCGATAGTCAACACAGGCTAATATTATCCGTATCCACCTCATGTCAAGACCCCAGATGTAGGTGCTAGCTTCTTCTAAATGTTCGTTCTTGATTTGAAAAAAAGTTCTATTACATTTTATATTATCCCTTTACGACAAACCCTTTGGAACCAAACCGCCTAGTGCAAAGCCACCACCATCTTTATACACAGTTTCACTTCAACATGAAGCACTAACACTAGCACGCAAAGGAATCATAAATACGGGACTTATTATACAGGGACTGTTTTCCAAGAATACTTCGCTTGTATCGCTAAAAGCATCGGTACAAGATGCCCATTTGCACTTCAATACAAACCAGTCCCTCGCTTTATACAAATTCCCCTTCCACTCAAAGGAACAGACGAAAAGATATAGAGAGCACCGACAAATATTGCCTAGCAGGAAGGGACGCAAAAAGACAAGAACTAGCGAGCGCATCTACAAGCGCAACAGTAACGCTTATGACTAACTGTTCTCGGATAGCATCCAAAAGAAAACAAGAACTCAAAGCTCTAGACCTCGCGACGGCAGAGGTGATAAATACTAAGAAGACCTTAGATGGCAGAACAAAACCCAATTGCAAATTGGAAAACGGGTCAACTAACAAAGAGACGAGACAAACCGTTCCCAGACTCAGTCGCGGAGATGATGGCAGCGACAGATTTTCTGATACCGGTAGCAGTAGCAGTGGACGTTGTAGACGGAATGATCAAGGACGACGACAAAGAATAGCATCATGGTGAATTCTTGTATACCACGGAGGACTTATCAAACTCAATCAGCATCGGCCTAGATGAGCCCACGGACGGGAATCTTCACGGCTAGTAAGAAAGTAAAATCTATTCCTATCACAAAAATTGCTAGAGTAAAGACTTATTTTGTTTTTTCCTTACTGGACTACGCCGATGGTCCCAGCAACATGTTTTTGCTCGCCCCATCCGGCAGCTTACTCCGCAAAATCAATCCCGGGTGCTGCCTCCCATCCACTCCGACGTTCCAGTCCGGCTGATACGGCAACTGGTTGATATTGAAATATATGTATCCATCGAAGCCCACGTTCGAGCTGTCGGGCCAGATGATCCTTGGGTCCCGGACGTAGGGCTTGGCTTGCAGAGTAGTGTCACTGGATCTTCGGTTTAGAATGGTCGTGGAGAAAGAGGGAGGAGTGGGATGAGGGGAGGCAGGGACTGACTTGTAGATATAGATGGCATTTTGTTCCGGCATCAGCATGTACACATTGCCCAGATTGTCACCAGAGAACCCGTTAGCGTCCCCGCCGCGCTGGCCGAGATTCTTCACATTATCGAACGCCCGCTTTGCGGAGAGGGTATCGTTCGAGGGATTTGCTCGCAGGTATTTTGTCTCGATGGAGAAAAGGTAGTTGGCTGTGAGTGGTGAGTAGTACATGACCTGGTCCATGTCAGTATTTGGTACTCCAGTCCGAATGAGAGAGAGCAGAAGAACTCACATCGCCATATAAACTCAGCTCTGCTCCATCCAAACCCTCTTGCTGATATCCCAATGAGCTTCCTTTCTGGCGAAAATAGAAAGGAATCCCCTGGTAGCTTGGCACGTCTCCAAATGTCCTCAGTGTACTCGGATGCTGGCTCAATTGTCTCCAACTCTCTCCAGTCGCAAGATCGATCATGATGAAACCCGTCCTGCCTTCATTGCTCGAGTCTACAATATAAGCAATGCCTCCACCAGACTCCGTGACGTTAGACCGCATATCAAATCGCACATCGTTCATATAGGAATCGGGATAGTGGACGTCTGCGGGAAGGGTATAGGTCCGGGCAATCGAGTTGTTCGACAGGTTTATGGAGACAAGTTTTGGGCCACCTGGAGCAGCATACGGCATGCTCGGTGCTTGAGACTCGTTGATCGAAGGTCTGCCGGTATCCAGCACCCACAAAGTATCATCCGGTGTGATAAACAGTGCCTGCACGGATATGAACGTATTCGAATCGTTGCTCCCAAACTTTATCCCGTTCATGGTTGTGTATAGCCCTCCCGGAGGCGTGTTCAGGGCTAGAGAGGGATATGCCTCCTCGGCAGTCTGGTTCACGATCTCGCCCAGGGTGTATGCGTATGTTCCGCGGGTGAAGCAGGCGAAAATCCTGCCGGTCTTGGAGACGGCGAGGCCAATTGGCCATTGATCGTAGTAGTAGTGGAACTCTTCGACTGGTGGTCCATATGTTCCTGTATCAAATCGTACATTCCGCGGACCGCTCGTGCTGAGGGTGCTGTTAAGGTTTGTATTGAAATTCTTGCTGCTCTGTGCGACTGTGAAGCCAAAAATGCTGGAGAGGGTGAAAAGGGCGAACTTCATAATGGTTCTCTATATATGTGTATATATCGAGCGCTGAAATCTTTGAGGCGGAAACAAAAACCAACAGTACAATGCATGGAAAGAGATACATAAAGAGATACATATACCTAGCTTCTAAGACAAAGTACTTGAATACCTGCTTTGATGAGGCCGATGATCTCATTACTTACTGCATCGACTACTCGCCGGCACTCGGCTCAGCTGGTAGATATCGATGAATTGAGGAAGAAGCCATCTCCAAAGGGAAGAAGATCGTAGTGATAGACAAAGCGGCTGCAGACATCTTGCAGGAGGTGCTTGTTGATTGATCCGAGTCATGACGGACGTTAAAAGTTAGCGTGCGGAGAGCCCCATCGCTAAAGATTAGCGAAGGCGCTCTTGGCGACACAAGGAAGTAAACAGAGCAGTAAACAAAGCAGTGAGCCTACTTATATCAGACTAGGTCATTAGATCCTTGGACTACATAGTACAATAGCAAATAAAACATACACTTTGCAGGCCGTCTTCTTTTGTGCGATAATGAACTTGAGAGGAAACCAATGGACCGGGTCAGCGTAAGTTAGCGTAGCCGCTAGCTTAAGGTATGTGGGATTTCCTCCGCCAGCTGCCAACATAATAAGAGCTTGATGAATCTCCCAACAATTACATGTAGTCGTTCGGAGATATATTCGACCACGTATGTTCTCGTCCAAGTCGTCCCTTCCGCACCAAAGAGAAATGAAACGTGCACTTGGTTGGCACTTGCTCTTTCCCCGGGTTTGAAATCAGGCGCAGTTGCCTCCTGTGCTTCTGTTCCTACTTCTACTTTCTTCTCCTCAATCCATCTTCATCTCTTTCTCTACCACCCTCAAGAGCATTATTTTCTTACCATCACCATCCCTAACACCAGCATTACTTCTCGAAGTAATCCACATCCCCGACGCCCATGTCACGTAACTGGCAGTAAAATCTTTGATACCAGGTGCATCACGTTCTAAGAAAAGCCACTGAACAAAAAGCAGACAGTAAGGCTCAAAACACATTCCCACCATGCAGTGCTGACCCTCACCGAATAGCACGCCGCACTACGACTTCTGACCAGCCCAGAGAATGGCTTTCCTTCCGTCATCTGAGCACGCTGCCCCCGAGCACGACTCCAAGTCCACCAAAGAATCCCGACACATCCTCCCCAGATCCAAATCTTCCAAAGCTATGGAGAAGGAAGCCGAAGCAGCCAAAGGCGGCATGGTCGACCACGAAAATGCCGCCAGAATCCACGAGGATGCTGCCAAGAAACACGAAGAGCTTCGGAAGCAGGAGGAAGCCAAAAAAATGGAAGAAGCCAAGGAATCTTTGAAGATTTCGGCGGCACAGAAGGCAGAGGATGCTCGGAAGCTCAAAGAGGCTTTGAAGAACGAGGCGAATTGCAAGGCCGAGGAAGCCAAGAAAAAGAGGCAGGAGTCGAAGCGCGAAGCCGCTAAGAAGAAGGAGCTTTCCAAAATGGAGAAGGAGGTTGCCAAAAGGGAGAAGGAGCTTGTCAAAATGGAGAAGGGGGCTGCCAAAAGGGAGAAGGGAGCTTTGAAGGGAAAAGCTGCCAGAAAGAAGAAGGAGTCAATTGACGACCCCCCCGTTTTGCAACCCAAGAAGTCGGGGCACTTCTACCGAACCAAGTCATACGAGCCTGCACCACCACCGGTCAATCTTACCAAGTCGCCCAATTTCGAGATCGATAGCTCCCAGATCGCGGGATTGAAGATCAAGATGAAGACGGGTGCAGATATTACTCTTGTGGATTTGCCCGAGACGGCGGAAAGGAAGAAGAGCAATAGCAAGAGTGTGGAGCCTGCAGATCCCAATGGTTGCGATTGCTAGATCTGTCGAGGACATCTGATGCAGGTTTGGGGTGTTTCTTTGCCTTGCGCTGGATCAAGAATGTATGAACGGGGCATACTGCAGGTATCGATTCGAAACTGGAGGTGAGGGGGTGATGGTGAGGATGGTGACAGATTGTTTTCTGGGCTCCTGCCTTTGATGATAGCCTTCCGGGTTCTTACTGAATTAACGGTGTATGCTCATCATTTTTACTTTCCCTGCCAGGCTGCCACCGACTCTATGATCTCTGTGACACGTGAACCCAAGCTGCCTTGAGTCTGCCCATCTTTCGCATACCAACCTCGTCTCCAAACTGGCCTTGCCCTGTGAGAGAAACCAGACTCCCCCCTCCCCAAAGACTTTTCAATGATCATCTGAGCTAACACAGCTCTACACAATGCCCCTGCTCACGATCACCAGCTCAAGGACTAAACAAACCTATTCCGTCGCCTGCCAGTAAGGCTGACGAAGAGACGTAATGCAAGCACGGATGGACGGAATCTTGTCTCTGAATCTCTTTTCCACCCCCTGCGAGGCGGAGCGTTCCTATGGGTGTAAGCTCCGTTCGGTTCGCTTGGATGGTTGATTTGGCGATTTCCTACCCCCCCTTTTTTTTTCTTTTTTTTTTTGGAAGGGGGGGGGGGGCGAGGGGGTATATTCGATGGAGATGATGGAGATGATGGATTTGATGGATTTGATGGATTTGATGGATTTGATGGATTTGATGGATTGAAATGATGGGATTGAAATGATGGGATTGCGTTGAGGGTTTTGTGGATGAGGGAGGAGGGAGGAGGGAGGAGGTTTGGTTTTTGTGGGTTGGTGTTGCTGGTGGTGTTATGGAAGGGTTGAGGAAGGGTTAAGGAATGAGGAAGGAAGGGGGTTTATGTGTGAGTTGTGAGATTTTTTCTTAGGCGAGCAGAGCGACACCGATGGGAAACTTGATTTAGAGGGAAAGGAAGGGAATGGAAATATATATATATATATAAATATATTGGTGGTTTGTCTTCTTCATACGAGCTCGGCATGGGTTTTCTAGAAAGAAAGAGAAGAAAGGGGCGGGGATGGGGGAAACGCGGGGTTATAATATTGTATCGGGGTCTAGACTTATCATAGCGAGCGTAGCAGTTGCATGCTTCGAAAGGGGGGAAGTCCATTTGAGTAGGGCGCACCTAATGAATGGACAAGCTGGCTTGCAATTTCCAGATCGCAATCAGCGCTTCGCGCGTCTCGTGTATCTGGGCCGTGATCCTGCTGAGCGTTTTCGTCTCGTCCAGAAGTCGACTCTTTCACCCGGTCTTCCAGTTGGGCACCTACGGGCTGGACGGACTCCGGCTGGCTGTCGCGCGTCGTCATCACAGCCCTGCTTCTCATCCTCCTCCTCCTCCTCCTCCTTCTTTACCGCTCGGCACTCCCCAGGCGCAGCAGCAGCATCAGACTCGCAATCATCACACCCACAGTAGCTGCTATCCCCCTTCGCCTCGCAACCACCTCCCCGAGCAGCATCCTCACTCCGTTCATCCCCAGCGCGTCCACCGCCCGTCTCACCCCCTTCCTCACGCAACCGCTCTTGCCGCCGGTCGGCCTCACAGGAGCCCTCTTGGATCCTCTCCCCGAAGGAGGGATATTCGCCGTCCCACATTCGCAGGCCGTACGAATTGACGAAAATCTCGTATTCGCTGTACCACTCCGGAACGAGAAGGTAGCCGGAGTCCTCGTCTTGCGCTGCTGAGGAGGGTGGATTGCGGCCTTTGGATGCTTTGGAGGAGTAGTTGGTTTTGTTTTCCTGCCGGGATGAAGGAGGTTGAAGCGGCTGCTGAGAAGCCATTCTCGCTTCTTGGCCTTGAGTGGTATGTATGGCCGCTAAAGAGTAATGATTGCCGGATGTTTGGGAAGAGTGTAGTGGCCCCTTTTGAGGAAAGCTGCGGGGTTTTTTTCCTTTCCTGTTTTGGTTCTTCGGCAACCAGAGGATTTGGACGATGAGAAACTGGGTCTTATATGTGAGAAGCCTAGTTAAAGAAGGAATAAACAGATAAAGAGTCACTAAGGAGCCATGGGACGTTTGCGTGTTCGGTGCACCATCCCGGCAGGGCCTTGGTCCAATCGTACCAATGCCGCTATTGCTAGAATAGAGCATTGCGGGGGAGGAAAAGAAAGAATTGAGAGGTGTAGAGCAGATATTCTGAAATCGTGTTCAGAAGCCTGTTGAGCCTGTGTTTCTCGAGAAGTGGATACATAGTTGTCAGAGCAGAGCCCGTTTGGCCGCTAATGGGACTTTCTCGACGCCCGTTTGCGATTCCGGGCCTACAGCTTCCAACTGCTTTCGAGCGGCCGTTGATAACGAGAGAAAAAAGGGGCTTCTTTCTTGATTAGATCAAACCAGAGTTTTGATTCATCGATTCGAAAAGGTGCAGACGTTATGCAACTAGCTTTTCGATACTGTGATTGGCTAGTCAGGCAGAGCGAAATCGATAAACATAGTATGAAGCGGATACAACACAATACAGAAAGAAACAGACTTTGAAGAGAACAACATATAAAAGAGATCAAAAAGAAAAGAACAGCAAAAGGTAACGATGAACTTTTGCCCTCTGTGACTGGTCAATGGTCAGCACATGGGTCTTGGGGATGGGAAACAGTGGCACTCACGAGTCGAACTCACGACCTTCGGATAACTCTGAATGTGGACAAGCAGATCATACAGGGTATGAGACCGACGCTTTAACCAACTAAGCCAAGAAGGCAGCTACATTTAAATGCTCCCGGCCGCGGCTAGTTGTTGCTATAATCCTGATTCTGAAATTTCCCACCGAGGCAGACCCCTCATTGCGGGGTCGGGCGTTTAAAAAATACGAAGGAAAAATGCCATGCCCCGAACTCCAGACCGGAAATCTTTCTGTATCGTCCTGTTCACGATACTGGGGCCTGCAAGACGGTAGCAGCATGAATCGCAAAATCAAAATGATCAAAATCCCTAGCTGATCTAATTTTACCAGCGATAGCTCGGATATGCTTATTGATGACGCCAACTCACATGCTTAATTCAGCAGTCCGAACCAGTCGCAAATCCAGGTGAAGTCTTCTCTTCTCTTCTCTTCTCTTGTCCATAGGCTTCACTTTTTCAAACAAGTGCTTACAGTTTTCAGACGGCTGGGATACGTCCCGTTCAGACCATATTATGATCGAGAACAGCACGGTGGATAGCACGGACGATGGCGTCTCCTCGAGGCCCAGCAGGTATACGAGGAACGTGACCTGTGATAGGAATCGGGATGCACGATGTTAGTACCGATGATAAGTCTCCTCCTCTCATCAGTCACGATACTTTGGCTAACAGAAACACGAGATGCTATTCTGCGTACGACGTGTGATTTATGCGCAGACGAACATCACTTCATGCGACCTGTGATATATATATCAACATCGCTGCGCAGAACATCTCTATGACGACGCCGAGCAGGACGGCAGCTCAGAATGTTGAAAGATCGTTGCCGGGCATCAATGATGTTTCCTGACCTGAGTTGGATTTGACCACAGAGGAAAGGATACACAATTCGCTTAGGCCATCGAGTGCCCGATTTTCCCTTCGGCCACACCACCGTTTCAATCATCCATCCCCCTCAGTATAGAGATCGCGACTTTTTTCAAAGTGCAAGATCTGATGATTGCTGATGTGAAAGATTTTTTGAGGGGGCCAGTTGTTCGATCTGACGCAGCGAAGTGAAGAAGGGAACGCGGGGTGAGCGAGGAAGAGAGAGGAAGCTGATATCGGAGTTCGTGTCAAGCGGAGATGTGCGTATCCTAATCTTCAATGTATCAGTGTATTGGCTGGGCAGGGTAAGCTTAAGTAACTTCCCGCCGCGAGTCCGCAAGCTTGTTGACCATTGACCTTCCTCAGCAGGGTAGTCTGCCGAGTCTGCCAAGGGCCTCGATATGAGTTGCCCCAGATAACATGCAGGAAAACCGACTACAGAGTACGTACAGTCAGAAAGTGGTGCTCGGAGACTGATTCCTGCCTCGGTATCTAGCGATAACGAGGGATGTTTAGCATACGGAGTATGATACGGAGTATGGGTGGATTCGGAGCGGGCTTCTTGGATATTAAGACGGCGACACTGGTTAACCAATAGGCGTTGCGGTTGCGCAAGCGTTCGAAATATCATGCTCCGTACATGGTCGGGCTAGGTATGTGTTCAGGTCATGCAAGCGACCTACGCGTGATTAAATAGCATGCTTTCCCTGTAAGTCGAGAAGCATGCATAAACCGACTACTTTCAGAGGACGTATTCAGTTGCAACATCCGCCCCCCCTCGGTGATATCAACATTTACAGCTCCGAGTCTTCTGGTCGACAGCTCTCGCTTCCTGGTTCCTCCTCAAGTCAAGCGAAGGGAAGATGCGCTTCTCCCTCGTTATCAGCACGGCTGCGCTCGCCCTCAACCCCCCCGTTGCCAATGCCGTGACAATCAACGAGGTAAGCTGATTCTGCCATGGCTTTTATAAGCCATGAAAAATCATGCTGAGGCTATCCGTAGATCAACGGCATCAGATATATTTCGCCATACAATAATCAAGCTGTGAGTGGCGTCCAAGGGCTGGTAACCGCCAAGAGCTCGGCCGGTTTCTATCTTCGCCAAACGACCGCTGAAGAGGACGACCGCTCGTCGAACTCGATCTACGTTTTTGGCGCTGCTGGTGAAAGGAATGTCACTGTGGGTGACATTGTCACTCTGGACGCGACTGTAAGCGAGTATCGTTCGCAATCGAACTATCTGTTCTTGACCGAATTGACGGCCCCGAGTAACATCGTGATCGTTTCGAGTGGAAATGAGGTGACGCCTCGGGTGATTGGAGAGGATCCGTCGCTCCAACCTCCGACCGAGGCCTTCTCGTCGCTTGATGATGGGGATGTGTACTCGGTGCCTAATAACCAGAGTCTGATCTCTGTCGTCAACCCGATTCTTGAACCGCTTCATTACGGGATGGATTTCTGGGAGAGCTTGACGGGAGAGCTCGTCACTGTCAAGGCCCCTACGGCAATTACCAAATCTAACAGGTTTGGCGATGTCTGGGTTGTCGGGCCATGGGAAACCTCCGGCAAGAACCAGCGGGGTGGATTGACCATGCGAGACCTAGATTCCAACCCGGAAGCGATTTATATCGTCAGCCCTCTTGACGGTACCGCTAATCCCCTGACTGTCAAGCTGGGTGATACTTTGGAGGAGATCACAGGTGTTGTGACGGCAGTCTTTGGGTACTACGTAAGTGCAACTTGTTCGCTGGTCTTTGTTGCCCCCAGCTCTCGGAGCTGCGTCTCGAAATTTCTTGAACAGAGCTCTCATCTTGCCACAGGCTATCATTCCTCGAACTGCAATCAAGACGGTCGCTTCTGCCTTGCCCGCCGTAGCTCCAGCCACGACTCTCGTCAGCGAAGGAAGCTGCAGCGGTCTGACAGTCGGCGTCTACAACGTCGCGAACCTCGCCCCGGGATCTTCTTGGCTTCCATCGATCGCAGATCACATCGCGACTCTCTTGAAAACCCCCGACTTGATGTTTCTGGAGGAAATTCAAGACGACACTGGCCCCACTGTCGCAGGTAATGTCGTCTCTGCCAACCTCACTCTCGCCACCCTTGCCAACGCCATCTACAATATCTCCGGCGTCCAGTACGCATGGACTGACATAGATCCCATATATGGCATGGACGGTGGTGAACCAGGCGGCAACATTCGGCAGGCCTACCTGTACAACCCGGCCACGATCCGACTCCGCAAGCCCAACCCGGGAGGGGCTCTCGATGCCAACGAGGTCCTGCCCGGTCCCGAACTCAAGTTCAACCCAGGACGCATCGACCCAACCAACGCGGCTTTCCGAGCCAGCCGCAAGCCGCTGGTCGCCGCGTGGGAGACGCTGGATGGCCAGAACCTCTTCTTCACCGTCAACGTTCACCAAGGGAGCAAGGGCGGCGGAAGCCCTCTGATGGGAGACGCAAGACCGCCCGTGAATGGCGCTCTCGCGCCCCGGACTGCCCAGTCGAACATCACCGCGACCTTCATCGCCCAGATCCTCGCGGCGGACCCGTCCGCCAAGATCATTGCCGCCGGCGACTTTAACGAATGTAAGTCAATTCGATTCGATTCGGTTCGGTTCCCCTGCTCCTCCCCTTAATGGCCCAGCTTACAACGAATAAATAAATGAATAAATTAAAATAAATCAAATCAACGTGCTGACGTTCGGTCCCTCCCCCCTCCCACAGTCTCCTTCGTCCAGCCCCTGGAGATCTTCACCTCCGTCTCCCAGCTGCTCGACCTCGACGACGCCGTCTCCACCCCGGCCGAGGAGCGCTACTCCTACATGTTCGACATGAATTGTCAGGCCCTGGACCACATGTTCGTCAGCCCGGCGCTGCTGGCCCCGGGGGCCGCGGCGTATGAGCACGTGCACGTCAACACCTGGGCTAGCTTCCCCGACCAAGTCTCGGACCACGATCCGGGCGTAGCGAAGCTGGATCTTTGCTCGTAGGTAGCCCTCTCGACAAGGACAGAGCCAGGAGATCTTGGACGCTGTGGAGTTGTGTGTAGCGTAGATAGATAAATAGATGATTATGAATGTAATGGTTGGCGTAACGAACCGCCCCTTTCTCTTTCTTCATTGATTACTCTCTGATTTTTCAGTCGGCAGGATTAGCTGGCTATGAATACCTGTTCTGCGCTTAGTCAGTCAAACCATTTTCCGGATGCGAGACTTGAGATTCGAGATCAAGCACTACGCATCACGCATCATCTTCTCCGATCCTAAACAAGCAGAGGCGAACGCGATTGCCACCCCCCCCCCCCCCACTTTTTTCGAAGGAAGGAACGCCCTCGAAGGATTGAGAGCGAGTTGTAGGGTTCGGGGACGTGGAAGGCGGTATGTTCCGCGCGGCGGGAGTGGGATTGGATGGATTGAGAATTTTTCTGCGGGGGTTTGGAGAATCGATTGATGGATACGATAAAGTAGACTTGTGCGTGGAAGACGTGAAGGCAAGGAGATGATGTTTTCAAGGACGGAGGTTTAGTGAGAGTGATGGTATTGGACTCTGATCTCTGAGTGTGCAAGGTATCAATTAGTAAGAGGAGGGAGTGTACCTACCTATGTTTTGCTGACGCCGAGGGGGGGAGAGAGAGAGAGTCGCTTTGGCTTCTGGATTCTATTATGGATCTTCCTGTTTGGATGTTGTTAGATGCTGGTAGGCGTAGGCAGGACTGGCTATACTCTGTATAACTAAGCTTCTGCAGCTGGGCTATCAGAGGTTGCATGAATTCCTCGTTCAGAACGGGTTAAGTGTTTGTTGGGGAGAGTCAAGGTGGTGCAGCGAAGCGAAGGTGATGACTACCTAGGTACTGAGCGAGTCTCTTTTTTGCTTGTCGACGCTGGAGGCAACAGAGGTACTTTTTTTCTCGTGAGAGAAATACTTCTTTTTTTTTTTTTTTTTGGGACGAAATCAAGAGAATGCCATCGTACTTGTAGCCTGCACATAATTCCCTACTTCCAGACGTAATATACATCTTAATCTAGCATAATCTCATAAGTAAATAACCTTGCCTTGCCTTGCCCCGCTACGCCACGTCCAACGTCATAGGTTATCGGAAGAAGTATAGCCACATCTATAAGAGAGTAACAGCATAACACTATCAGGGCCACTACACCACTACACCACCTACACAAAATGTCCCGACTTCCTCTTCCCATGTAACCAGAGCGACTAGGGATATTACAGCCATCCATATCATCAGTAACGTCCGCACAACAGCGAGAGTCTGAATAGCGGCAATGACGTCGTCATCAGAGAACCCCGCGCCCCGGACGGCATCGCCGTCGAACAGCTTCTATGCCATGAGCGACGACGAGGAGGGCGATTACAACACTATTACACATACGGCGTCGGGTAGGGGAGTCAAGCTCCTCTACTCGAAGAGCAAGGCAAGTTGTGCAACTTCAAGGCCCTCAGGCCCCCGGGAGCTCTTCTCTGGACCCTTTCAACAAGAGATATGAGGAGTATCAAATGCATTATGATGTATCTAACAAGCCCTCCAGGTCTACATTCACCCCACCCCCTCCGCGAAAGATAACATCCCCGGCTACATCGCCCTCCTCCAGCAGAAGCCTGTCCCCGATGGCCGCCCTTCATCCTCCTCCTCCTCCTCTTCTGCCAAAGCGAGAACGGCCGCCTCCCTCCTCCTCGCCTGGGTCCCTGAGCACTCACTCGGTGACTCTCGCGAGACCTACGTGAAGGTCGATCTGGCAGAAGGCGAATCTCCCCCGAAACAATCCTACCTGGTCCCCCCTCCCCCCACCACAACCACGCACTCCGCCTCCCTCGGCCACTACGCCTTCGCCATCCCCGTTTCCGCCGTGTACAGTCTGCTGGTCAGACCGCCGAGCCTTGGATGGTGGTTCGGCAGCGTCATCATAAACAGCAGAGCCGGGGACTCGTTCCCGGCGCTGTTCTTCCACGATAGCGAGTGCCAGAGCACGATTCTGCAGAAGAAGAGGCATGCGAGGGAGAACTTTGATCCGTTTGGGGCGAACGGGGAGATGTTCTGGGGTGGGGATGAGGTCTTGAGGTGGCTGAGGCGGTATGTGGATATTGAGCGGAGTGGCGCCGAGCCGAACATCTACCTGGTTGAGCCGAGCTTGGAGGACAAAGAGGCATTTGGTGGAAAGCCTGTTACAGCGGCGGCTGTGATGCCGTCGGGCACTGGAGCGCAAGTCAATGGGGCGGCGGGTACTGGGGTCGGAGCTTCGAGCTCAAGGAGTCCGAGGGATGCGGCCATGGATCCCGTGACGAAATTTGTAAAGGAGGCGGGATGGAACTTGATGGAGAAGTTCAGCAAGGTCACTACGTTTACGAGGCGCACGGCCGATTCGGTGATTGAGAATCCGAAGATGCCGCCGCAGATGAGGAGACTGTTGAAGAATCCGGAAGTCCAGACCCTGCAGGAGGAGTTCGACAGTGCGAGGATCTATCTGGCGCGGTGGGCGATGGGGATCGCAGAGCAGAGTGAGAAAGATAGGAATCAACGGATCTGGACTGCACGGGATGTGCTGGAGATGGAGGAGACTGATGTTGGGGACTTTGAGCTGCTGGATACCGAGATGGGAGCTTTGAGTATGAAGGAGCAACGCAAGACTGTCACGCTCAACGAGTGGAACAGCTTCTTTGATCAGAGAACTGGAAGATTGTCTATCACTGTTGATGAAGTCAAGGAGAGGGTATTCCATGGTGGACTGGACCCTGATGATGGGGTCCGGAAAGAAGCCTGGCTCTTCCTTCTCGAAGTTTACGACTGGCACTCCTCGGCTGAAGAGCGGAAAGCAGAGCTTGCCCGACTTCGAGACGAGTACGTCAAGCTGAAAGGCGCTTGGTGGGACAGACTCATAGATCTTGGCGGAGATGGTGAAGAAGGCGAATGGTGGCGTGAGCAGAAGAGTCGGATAGGTTTGTCACTCTGAATTATCCACTTGAAGGCCGCAGGATAGACTGACAAGTTCCATTTCACGGGGTCTCCGCGATAGAGAAAGATGTTCACCGGACCGATCGTACGATTCTCCTCTTCGCAGGGGAAGATACACCACATCCAGATCCTTCATCACCCTTTGCGGATGTAGGGACGAACGTCCACTTGGAGCAGATGAAAGACATGCTCTTGACATACAATGAATATAACCGCGATCTCGGCTACGTACAAGGCATGTCCGACCTCCTCGCCCCGATATACGCAGTAATGCAAGACGACGCCATCGCTTTCTGGGGCTTCCAGCACTTCATGGATCGCATGGAGCGGAACTTCCTGCGTGATCAGAGCGGTATGCGAAAGCAACTTCTCACACTCGACAACCTAGTCCAACTCATGGACCCGAAACTCTACATGCACCTTCAAAGTGCCGACTCCACCAACTTCTTCTTCTTCTTCCGGATGCTGCTCGTCTGGTACAAGCGCGAGTTTCCCTGGTTAGACGTGCTGCACCTTTGGGAAGTGCTCTGGACGGATTATTTAAGCAGCGGTTTCCACCTCTTTATCGCGTTGGCGATCTTGGAGAAACATCGCGATGTCATTATGGGGCACCTCCAGCACTTTGACGAAGTGCTGAAATATGGTACGCCTCGCTCCCACTCTGTATCTACTACGTTTATTCTTAAGGTTGGAACTTTATTGACGCCTGTGGTATAGTCAACGAACTCTCCACGACCATTGACCTAGAATCTACCCTCATCCGCGCCGAAGCTCTCTTCCGTCGCTTCCAGCGCACCGTCGAATCCATCGACCGAAAATCAAACTTCCCAGCCCCGAAACTGCGCCAGCGGATCACCAACCAGAATGCATCGCTAGGCGGCACGCAATCGTCGCGTGCATCCGCTTCTGCTAATACGTCGAGTACCGACACGACGACGGCTGGGGGGACGAACAGTGGTATACCGAGTTCCCCGGGCCCGAGCACGTCAATCCCGGACGATACCATTGCAAATACCAAGGGGAAGGCTAAAGGCAAGGGCAAGAGCAAGAGTGACGATAAGAGTAGCGAGTTAGAGGAACAGCGACCGAAAGTCGTCAGTGCCGAGTTGAGAGGCCTTCTGAGTCGCAAGGTTGAAGTGCTGCCGAGGAAAGTAGTGAGGAAGGAGGGAGAGGGGCTGTCAAGCTTGACGAAGTAGATTGGCGAGGCGCGGCCTTGGAAGTTTGGATATAGCGATTTCATTCATGCTCGAAGAAGGTGGCTCTAGGGACTGGGAGTTGGGGTTAGTGCTTGGTTTTGGCCTTGGAGTTTGGTGTGGTCGGTGACGGGAGGTGGCGAGATATGCTGGATCGGGATGGAACTGGTACATAGCAAGCTCACATACGTCGTTGAAATGAAACGAAAGGAACAGAAATGGCAAGGGACGTTTCTTTCACATCTAACCTGAAACCGGATTCATGATTGACTGCACTTCTTTTCTTTTCTTTTCTTTTCTTTTCTTTCTCGCTCACCCCCTCTCACCCTTCTTTCATTCCCTCCTTTCCTCTCTTTTTCTCCTCTCCTTGACTCCCTCTATTCATGACAGGCCAAAAGGCACCTAAGCAAGAAAGTAAGCAAGTAAGTAAACCCAAACGCCCACCCCTCCTAATCGCCCCCTCCCCTCTTCAGTAATACGCACTCCGATCCTCCCAGCCCGGCCGCAAGTAATCCGTCCCCGCCACCACCTCGGCCAGCACCCGGCTCTCCACCACGGCGACCACGTCCCAGTCTATGCGCAGCTCCAAGCCCTCGTCTCCCCCCTCGGCCTCGGCATCAGCCATCACCCACACGTTCACAGCTAGGGTATTCGGGCCGCCGGAGTAGTCCAGGATGCCGGGGAAGACGGGGAAGGAGACCTGGTTGCCGATGTGGGGGATGTACTTGCCGAATTGGTAGCCGTTGATGTAGAGGGTGGCGCGGAGGGGGGGGAGGGGGGAAGAGGGGGAAGAGGAAGAGGAAGAGGAGAGGCGGAGGCTGAGGCTGATGTCGAGGTTCGGGGGGAGGGTGAGGGGGATGGTGGTGCGGTGGAAGGTGAGGCCTGCTTTGGAGGGGAGGCGGAGCGAGGTAGTGCTGCTGGAGCCGGCGGAGGAGTTTGAGGAGGTGACCGGGAAGGAGGAGGCGGGCAGGTTGGGGAGGTGCCAGCCGAGGCGCTCGCCGTGGAGGCCGCCTTCGTTGTAGGGGCCGCGGATGGGGTCGATGTTGCTGGTGCCTCCGGCGGCGCCGGCGATCTTCCACTCGGTGAAGAGGGCCGCGGTTTCGGTCGGGAGGAGTGTGGCGCTCGCGATGCCGCGCGGGTTGGTCGCGCCCGAGGTCAGGTCGTGGCCCATGTTGTCGATGAGGAGAGTGAGGACGTTGTTCGCTTGCAGGGTGGCGTTGGCGAAGGAGAGGGCGAGGGAGGACTGCGTGATCTCCCTGGAGCCGGGCCAGGAGCCGACGTGGACGCCGTTGAGGAAGGCGGACCAGCCGCTGTTGATGCCGGCGATGACGGATATGTTGACGCCGGTGATGGTGGTGGTGGTGGTGGTGGTGGTGTTGGATGGGGAGGGGAAGTGGCCGCGATAGATGAGGGCTCCGTAATGGTACCCTAGGTCACGGATTGGATCAGATCAGTATCATACGTGCGTGCACTGGATATCATATCATATCAGATCAGCGGGGAGAGGGACGACGCGAGCGACGTACCGTAATCGTCCGCCCACAGCACAGGAGACGTCGCTGGCTTCGTCGGGTTCTCCGTGCTGGTATGGTTCGCAACCGTCCACTTGGAGTCATCATACTCGGCCAGCCGCTCGGGGAAGCCATCGGCGACTTCCCATCCCGTCAACGCTGGCAGTCCGGCCCGGATAGACTCGATAGTATGGATCGACGTCCCGAGCGTGCCCACGAGACTCCCGTAGCCGGTCCGCGACACCTCCACGCTCTCGCCGTTGAACGAGACGCGCGAGATGGCGGAAGCAGCGAAAATCTCGATGGACGTGCTGCCCGTCCAATCCCCCTCCAGCTCCAGAACCTCGCCGGAGATTGCCGCGGAGCGGACGAGGTAGGGCCCGAGTACGATGACCGTCGAATCCTCAGGGGTGAAAGGATCACTCGACGTGCTCGGGAACCAGGTCCCATAAGCCGCCGACCTGTCGATCAGGACGACTCGGTACCCATTGTCGAACTTCACTACACACGTGCCTTGCAGCTGCTTATACGAGATGACCAGGCCACCGCTCGTCTCGTTGACCTGGAAGTTCGAACACCCGTCTTTCTTGAGCAGAGAAGCCGAACGCACGCCCGAGAGCCAGAACTCGCCGCTCTCGGACGCTGGGAGCCAGAGGAAGAGCAGCGGCGTCTCGTCCTGCGTCGAGACTGTCAGGACTTCGGCGGTCGAATAGACGAGCTTCTGCTTGCCGAGGGCGAAATCCGTCACGACGATCTTGGATTCTCGCCCGTTCAGCACGATGCTTTCCGCGTACATGGGAATGGTGAGGTTTCCCATCGTCGTCGCCACGGTCAGTTTGAACGGCGTCAGATCCCGCGAAGGGGACGAGAAGTGGACTGTGACGTAGAATCCAGCGTTCGTGTCTGGGTTGCGCAGCTCGGAGGTGAAGATGGCGGGGTCGGAGGCGTACAGTTTGCTGTTGCGGATCAGGTTGACTTTGGTGAGGTCCCGGGCGACGCGGAGGAATTGCGCGAAGAGCTTGGTTTCGTGATATTTGGGTCGGATGGTCCTGCTTTCGCCTAGGCGGTACGTCTTAGATAGGGAAACGTGGGAAAGAAAGGAAAGGGGCGGATACTGACTGATAGGTGCGCTATAGTCGTAGCTGGTTCCCACCAGTGGGAATGGCAGAGCTCCTGTGTATTGTTAGTCGGAGCAGGTGGTCTAGCATTTCATCGAGCCAAATTTACCCCTGAGTGTCGAGATTAGCGAGAATTAAGCGACAGCAGGTGACATGTATGGAGTTGACATACCAGTTGGTGCCCCCAAAACTCATGTACACGTTTATCGCCGATACTTTCTGCGCCACATTATGCCGATAATAGACATTGACCCAGTCCGGGCCCGTAGTGTTCACACACCCTCCCTCAGGGCCGCCCCACGGGTTATAGCTTCCCCCTTGGAACTCGGCCAGGAAGCTCGGCTGCGTGGGCGCCACCTCCTGGAAGTTGCTCTGGTAGCCAAATAGCGAAAAATCCGGCACGTTCCCATTCGTGCCCGTACACTCCGTCACATCGCAGCTCCAGCACGAAGGGTATGAATCCAGTCCATAGACATCCACGTTTCCACCCACACCCGCGCCGTAGTCTTTGGACCAAGACTTGGTGTTCACGTTTGGATTGTTGTGAACTAGCGGGATGTCTATTCCAGCGTCTCTTGCACACTTCTGGAGGAGCTCCATGTATGCGATAGCGGGATCGTTTGGTGTTTTGGCGGTTACGTTGATCCATTGATTGCCGTACTCGTTCTCGATCTGGTAGATGAACACGTTGCCACCGTTCGTGACTTGATGTTTGGCCACTATCTCCGAGTACTTCTTGAGGTACGGCGTCCAGGCCTCTGTGAACCGTGTATCGTCGTTGCGGAGTGTCCCGTAGGCACCTGTGGTTACCCATCCTGGCAACCCGCCTGCATTGGTTTCGGCGTTGACGTACGGCCCGGGACGGAAGAGGACGTAGAGGCCAATTGCTTTTGAAATTTCGAGGAGCTTTTCAAAGTTATGGGCGCCCGTCTCGAAGTCCAGAGAGCCTTCTGAGGCGCTGTGGTATCCTAGAGGCTGTGAGACGTTGGAGATTAGGAAGTTGGGTAGGGTAGGCAGGGCAGTCTTACCCCAGTTTCCGTAGAAACTAACGGTGTTGAAGCTACAGAGATCAGCTCTCGTTGGCAGAGCGACGGGGCGGCAGCGTACCCGGCAGCTTTTACCTTCTGGAGAATGTCAATCCACAGCTCTGGAACGGGAATTCTCCAATAGTGAACCTATATCCTGTTAGCCGTGAATAGTCATAGTGCTCACCTGTTCATTCCATGCAGGTCTCAAACTACTCACCTCTCCGGACCAGATAAAGAGTCGCTGGCCATTGATGATAAAGCTATAGTGATCCCACTCAACGACGGAGTTCAAGGTGTTATTGTGTACTGGCCATTGAGCTTGACCAGCCACCAAGCTTGCCGCACAAGTGAGAGCATACGTAGCACTTGAGAGCTTCATTGTAAGTGCCTACAGGTCTACTGCTTAGATCGTGAGAAAATACTTCAGACGTACACGTTTCTAAGTACGAAATAAATCTATATATATAGAGAGCATTTGAGTTTCTGCATGGAGCGAGCGGCGGTTGATTTCTCCGGCGCGAATAATACGACAGCCCCACACTGGAACATGTTCTTCTGACTCCCGTAACTCCATTCCATCTTGCGGGGTTCATCGAGCTGTTCTTGGGGAAATGACGCGGAATATGCGGCTTCGATGTGACTATGCATGGTTGAAAGACATTGGAGTTAACGAACGGCCCGAGCCATCGAGCCATCGGGAAATCTCTGACCGACGAGGTTGAGAGAAGATGGCTATAAGTATCAAATATAGCTCTTTGGTGTTATCTAAGTCGACTTGGTCGCAGTGATATGCGATCGAACAAAGCACGTACCGGTACTTCGTATATATCCTTTGATGAAAGAGCGGGCTGAACTCAATGCTGATGTCGAGGTGATGATCGGAAAATGCAAAGAGGTGTTCGCGCGTCGTGATTGGCGCGCCAGTATCTAATTAGTCATCTACAGTACAGTACCGGTACCTAGGAGGATGGTCGACTCCAAAGCATAAATTGCGAGATGTGGGAAAATGTTGTTGATACCGTACTTCAGGGCCGGGCTTCCTCGCTAATACCCAGGATGTGTAGCTCGCCACATGGCATCTCGGATGTTTGCAAGCAGACAACCTACTAGAACTCGGGGAGTTTCGAGACTTAATTCGACACTTTGATCGAGGAAAATCTGCCCGTTCCAACGTCGTAATTTTCGGTGCATGACTCGGGATTACCGTCAGTCACGTGGATACGGGATAAATCTGTTGCGGGTCGTGTTTGTCGCGATTGACTTTCTCAAGTTCGCCCGCATCCCAGCAACGCCACGACCGTCCATGATCCGGAATGCGTCTGCTCGGAATGCGAGACGCTACGCCAGTCGTATATTCTCAGATACAGATAAGCGATGGCAGCACTTCCCTGTATTCAGTAGAAACTTGACGCCCAGGAAGTCTCGTCCAAATGTTCCTCGAGTCCCCAAATCTCCCCAGTACTTTGCGAAGTGCTTCCATAGCACTGCCCTGGATCGGTCTGATGGCACTGTATATGCGCTCTCTACCGGATCAGGGGGGGCGATAGCGATTGTGCGAATATCGGGGCCTGGCTGCGATCAGGTAATCCCAATATACCCATCACCAGTGGTGACATTGGCTGACCTTCCAAGATTTACCACGCGCTCTGTCCGGCGAGACCTCTCCCTAGGCCTCGAAATGTTGCAGTCAGGACCCTCTGTGAACCAGGAAATCCTGCGAACGTCCTCGACGCCGACGCCGTTGTCCTGCGATTTACCGCACCGAAGTCATCTACGGGAGAAGACATGCTGGAGCTACACATCCACGGAGGAGCAGCGACTGTCAAGGCGGTCATGTCTGCCATTGCGCAGATTGACTCTCGGACCATACGCGCCGCAGGGCCCGGCGAGTTCACCAGAAGATCTTTTGCAAATGGAAAGCTGGATCTGGCGCAGATAGAGGCATTGGGCGATACGCTTGCGGCACAGACAGAACAGCAGCGGCGCGCTGCTTTGAGGGGGCGGTCAGGAGAGCTTAGTCGTGTTTATCAAGATTTGCAGGCGGATCTCCAATTGCAACGGTAGGTCATTCTCCCAGGCTATCATGTCGCTTATGGCCACCAATGCTTACTCGTTTACCCAGCGCACAGTTGGCGGCGGACGTAGACTTCGGCGAGAGCGAGGACCTAGAGGGACTGGAAGAAGTGTGGTCCGGTGTCGTGTGAGTAACTCTCTCCCAAAGCTACGAGAATATCTCGGTATTTTGAAAATTACAGCTAACCCTTCGTAGTGAGGAGATCCTGCTTATTCAGGCTCGAATCATAGAACATCAGTCAGCAGCCCGGTGTGGCGAGATGATTCGGAGAGGAGTTCAAGTATCGTTGATCGGCTTTCCTAATGTTGGCAAAAGCTCGTTGTTCAACCGGATCCTGGGAACACAAGCTTCGATAGTGAATCAACAGGCTGGGACGACGCGGGACATTGTAGAGGCTACGGTGGATATCAAAGGATATTTGTGTACGATTGCGGACACAGCTGGAGTCAGATCAGAGGCTGAAGATATTGGAGAGATTGAGGAGGAAGGAATCAGGTCAGTCATGTTCCCAGAACTTCATGACATTCAAAAGCATGCTAACCTGCGTAGGCGGGCAATTGCGAAAGCCGAAACGGCGGATATGATAGTCTTCGTGTTATCACCAGACCAAATGTCCCAGGACCATGCCGCACTTTGGTCAATCGTTGCAGGAGGAGGAGCACAGAAGCCTGCAATCGTCGTTCTCAATAAGGCCGAAACCCTTGGTGAATCTGACCTGGCAGAGTGCCTTCGAATTCTGGAACGATCAAAAGTCCGATATCTTCCCGAGCCGAATGTCGTCCCGATCCTCCCAATATCGGCACTCCAGACCCCGTCTGCCACCAAAGTTGCCACAAACCCCGGTAATATCGCAACATTCCTCTCGACTCTCACAGACCATCTCCAGAAAATGACTTCGGTACCAATCGAAATGCAAGATCTCATAGGCGCCACGGAACGTCAGCGACAATTACTTCAAAGGTGCCATGAACACCTGGATTCTTTCATCACTTACGCTCGGCACGGAGGCGGAGATGCGGCAATTGCGATTCACCACCTGGATAACGCAGCGAATTGTCTAACGCAGATTACGGGCCGCGATACCATGGGCTGCGTAGGGGATGTGGAGGAGATATTGGGGGTGGTATTTGAGAGGTTTTGCGTCGGCAAATGAAGCAATGTCACGAGGAGGATGTGGTGACATTGCAATGGGACTAGGGTAATGGAGATCCCGGATAGCGCGCTCGAAAAGATGTTTAAGGGATTCAAGTGTCATCAGACGGGTGCGGTGACTTTTTTCAGCTGCGTGTCGTAAAGTAATGGCTCTTACCGCTACCGTGGCTTTCACCACGGGGCATCCGAGCTTCGGGAAAAACCGAGAGAAGATGATAATGCACTTTAGCTGAGTACCCATTCATCTATCCATCCATCTATCCATCCATCTATCCATCCATCTATCCATCCATCTATCCATCCATCTATCCTCAGCCTTTCCCTCCCCCAAGACTGAGAGGATACAACGTGGTTCTTTCCGGTGATGTGATCAAACGGCTTCGATCTGTAAATGGTGAGCAAGTAAATAGCTAGCTAGCTAGCTATTCAATTCCTAGCTCTTAATTTTCTTATCTTCTTCTCCTTCTTTTTCCTCTTCTTCCCATTACCGGCAGACTCCGCCATCTTTCTATGATCGAATGCTCTCTCTACTCTACTCAGACTCTACCTCTCTCTACCTTCCTCCTCCTGCTTCGAGATGACTCCTTAGCTATTGTGGAATGAACATCCCCTTCTCTCTCCCTCACCCCCCCACGCTTTCTTTCCCTGCAGACGCACATGCATAATACGGAGAAGCCGCGGCTACCTATACTCCGTAGGTTACCCCCTTGAGTGAGTCGTCGGCGATTACTTGATGGATGCATATATATGATCTCATGTCGGCTTCTCCGTGGGTAATTATGTGTGATGTGGAAGGAAGGATGGATGGATGGCTGGATGGGTGTGGATATGGATGTGTGCTGGTACTAGATTGCATACTTGAGAGCTTCAGAGCTTCTGTCGGCCGGCTGCGGAATGGCAACTTTTGTTTAACACATATTATATATGTTTATGCATATTTTTATGATGGTGTACCAATAGCGCTACGTACCCCGCGCGCGGTATTAGGATGGATTGGGGGCTGTTTAATTTGTTTTTTTTTTTGTATTTATGTGGATGGAAAGAGTAGCTTCAAGTGCAAGCGAGAGATAGGTTTGGTAGCTGGGGTATTGTTGGGTTGATTTTGGGATTGAGGCTGGCTGGCAGCTGGAGAGAAAAGTGCCGATGCGGTAGGACGTGAGACGAGATCAGATCAGATCAGATCAGAGGAGGCCGAGATTGGTACCGAGGTTTCTTTCTTTTTGGCTCGTGTGCTTATCCGTATGTCTATGGGCTGAATGTTTTGATCGAAGGAGAACTGGGGTCGTAGATCGGACTCGACTCGGGTCGAGCCCTATCATGATAGCGACGTGCGAGAACTATGCCTAACTCTTTTGTTTTGATTTCTAATGCTTATCCTCTTTGCGCGTGCTGGTTTCCAATTTCTCGATAAGCTGAACGGACAGACAGACGTACATTGGGACCTTTGACGTGCAGTCATGATTACGCAAATCATGCTTGGTAACAATGAACTTGCTGCTCGCACTGCCACTTATTATCAACATCGTACATACCTATTCTGATCATCGCTCTAGGCTTCGGGCAGACGAACGGGCTTACGGATAGAATTTCACCGGAAGAGTCATCGTCCTCCTCCTCTTTATCAGCGTCGCCGAATAGACGCGGCGGACATTCTCTCTCACTCACTGATGCGGTAGTCAGGCCTCCAGTAGAGTAAACGTCACCTCGGCTTGATTAGTAGCTGATTAGAAAGCAAAGAGATCTCCTAGAACCTTCCTATCTCTTTCTCTCTCTCTTCTTCTCACTCTCAGTCATTCTCAGCGAATCTCAGTAAATCGATCAATCAAATCCAGTGCCAAATAGATTATTCAAGGTCCGCCAAGCCTTTCCAGAAACCCGCTAGAATGTCGCTTATCACCTCTCACCAAAACAAAAACACCCTTAGGCTTTCCATCGAACAACCTGTCAGCTTACAGCCGCAGCCACACTCTCCCCTCCGTCCCCCAACCACAAGCCCTCATTAACTCCCCGGTGTATTTCTGTCAGTGGCTTCGCTCTGCTCTCCCTCTCTCTCTTTCTAGCCATTCGAACTAGCGCATCTCTAAATTTGGGGTCGACTCCATATACCCATCTGCTCCCCCTGTCAGCGCGGGAATGGGAAGCGAAAGCTTCAGTTCAGCCATTCGCTTGGGTACGAGAGGCCTGGTGTCGCTTAGACGTTGGCTTCGTAGTCTCCGGATGCAAAACGTCCGGTTGAGGGTGCAGAACAAACCGCTCTTGTGGCCGCGGTTTCGTAGGTAGGTACATTTTAAGAGTCCCACGAGATTAGCCAGGTCCAGCTGCAGGTACGGGATATGTGCAGATGGTGTCTATTGGCGCTGGCTAGGGAGTACAGGTACATTTATACCAGCTGCCAGCCTGGAATCCCAGCAAGGCCTCGCAATATCCCGCAAAGAATCAAGCAAAAGTGGCATCTTGGAGAGTGTCGGTAGATTTTTCTTGGTGGCTATTACGGACTACTTTAGGCCATCACTTCTGGCCATAGCTCACGGTTCCAATATCCTGATTACCTTATGGAACGCACTTTGGGGTCGACTGTATCTGCATGCTCGTTGCCCGATCCAGTCCACGCTTGCTTTTGTAAGAGAGGTTCTTTTGAGACTTCCAGCAGCATCCATAATCCCTGCCGGAATCGTCCGTTGATTACATGACGCTGATGACTGTAACACTTTTCTAATGTCCAGCCCTGCGCGGCAAGCAGCTAAGCGGGCTTGGCGTATTTTTGATACTCTGCTCAGTTTCTGACTGACAGACGGGATGCGCAGCAAGTCACTATTCTGTGTATGCTACAATTAGGACAGCTGGAGGAGGGGAAGGAAAGTATATAGAGGGCTTCAAACCTCTCTACTTTTCTCTTCATTCCATCATCATCAGCATCTTCTTCCTACACTAGCAACCTTCAATCACAGTACTTCACTCTCAATCTTTCACACTATATAGCCAACCCTCAACCAGCCAACCACTCTATACTCCCCAACTCCTCAACACACCATACTTCACCCATCCAAGCCATCAACCGACAGCCACACCCCCAACGCAATGGCATCCTCAACCAGCTTCACCCCCTCCCTCCTCCTCCTCCTCCTCCTCCTCCTCCTCCCCAATCGCCAACTTCGGCCGCGGCGGCTACAACAGCCCCGCCTCTTCTAGCAACAGCGACGACGACGAGTCCCACACCACGTCCGCACCCACGAACTTCGGCCGCGGCGGCTACAACAAGGGACCCGACGACGACGAGGAGGAGGACGGCCGCGGCGGCTACAACTAGATTGCCAATCATCCTCGCTTAGCGCCGGATCGGGCAGGGACGTCGCTTCGCTCGCTCGCTTGCGGACAAGGATTCGCCACATATGTACCTACATATATGTAAATATATCTCGCCTAACCGATCGACTCCTGCCGTCAACGACATCGCAACATCGCAACGTCGACCCCTTTTTTCCTCGCCACTCCATCTTTCTCTATCGCATCGCATCGCATCGCATCGCGTTTTCATAATTTTTCCGAGCATGTTTTACGCCGATAGACGAACGAGACTGATACGTACGTACACACACACACACACACACACAGATAGATATCGAGATATCGAGCTACACAGCATCCGCGCCAACTCTATCGGCGTTTTT